TACCTGTTCAGATGCACGGCATCTTTAGAAGCACCGAACAAGCTAGGCTGCAGTAAACTGTGGGACTGACTGGGGCCTGGGTCTTAATACAGGAGGTTTCCAAACTTGTTAGTTCCTTTGTTGTCGCTGGGGATTGAATACAGGGTCTGGAATATGCTAAGTAGTGCTGTAGTGCTGGGCTGACTCGGTGCAGGGGAAACATCAACCTCGTGTGTGGGAGCAGTTCGGTTTGGGCTCTCAGTATAGACATCTTTGGCGTTACTTTGGTGCTGTGACTACTGGATGCTAAACAAACACAGAACCTAAGAAAACGGGGATGAGCAGTGCCTCCCACACCAGCCCTCAGACTCTAGTAGCTGAACCAAGAATACAGATGATAAAGCAGATCTAGGTGTCGGTGCTAAGTGCTATAGGATCAGCTTGTCACGCTTTGGATCTCACAGGCCCCAGAGGCTCTCCTGTAAAACTCTGTCCCAGCCAAGGCAGAAGGTGGTGTAACTTTTAGGAGGTGGGGCCTAGTGGGAGGAAGTGAGGTCCCTGGGGGTGTGGCCTAGAAGGGGCTATGAAGTCCTTGGTATCTCCTCTCTTCTTTTGCTCTCAGCTGCTATACAGCGAGCCACTTTGGTCTCCTGTGCACTCTCTACCATGATGCTCTGCCTTGCAGAAGCAACAGCACTAACCGGGCATGCACAGAACCTCTGAAAACCCAGGCCAAAACAAATATTTCCCGTTCACAAGATGACTACCTCAGGTGTTTTGCCACAGAGATGGAGAGCTAACTAACAGCTTAAATGAAAGGCAATGGAAGTTTTAGAGAGGCAGACAGTAATGGGATGGAAAGTTTTCTTTAATGGAAGATTTACACCCTACTCAATACCCAAGGGAATAATTACTTGGAATCACATGACCCTGTCAAATTCTACACATATGCTCCTGGAAGGAGCCAAACTGACCATCTGACCCATAAGAGAATAAACAAAGGGCCATCCTCACCACTCTCTCCTTCCTCCATGTCAGCCATCGCTGAATTAATATATGCCTGTTCAATCATTCTTTTCCCCAGTGGAAGCATTCTTTTTCCAAGTAATGTTGATAGCCAACTTGGTTCATGCCATTCATTTTGTTGTGGTATGGTTTTGTTTTGGTAGATTTGCTTTTTTAGTACTGGGGATGGAACCGGGGCCTCGCACATGCTAGGCTGGTGCTCTACCACTGAGCCACATTCCCAGTCCTGTTGTTCACATATTTTCTCTTAAAAAAAAAAAAAAAAAAGTACCTAGGATGAAGAGATTACCTGAGTTCCTTTTGGCTGATTCTTTATTAGCTGGTGTGGATGGGGCACGGGTGGCCAAGGCATTCGTGTCTGGACCCCTCTGTGCTGGCTTCATCTCTGTCTGCAGGTACGGATCTCAGCCAGGCATTGCACTCCCTGGATGCATTGCCACTCCAGGATTCCCTTAGAATCCAGCAGTTACAGCCTACAGGGTGGGGGTGCTGGACTGCCCTCTCCACTGCCGTACCAGCTGCCTTTGGTGATGATCAGAGGTGAGAGGGACCACGAGGGAGACAGACAAGCTGCTCCCCATCAATGTGTAGACATATGAGGGGAAATGCTGACACAAAGCTCATAAAGCCCAATCGTTAAAAATGATTGCTGTCATGCAGTAACCATGCAGATCCAGCCTCCTTCGTCTGAATGTATACAGTTGAAAAATGTTTTATCTTTTTTTTCAGACCCCAAGATTGTAAATTTTGTCTCAGTTAATGTCCAGTCTTCCCAGGCAGTAGTTGCCGAGTCCCTAGTTCACTTGACTCATGAGGACCCGGCTGCATGGGTGTCAGTGACTGATATGTTGTGGGTGGGTGCTGTGCACCCTCCTTCTGCTATGCTGTGGCACATGTTATTTCTGTTTCTTATGCTGAATCCTTGCTTCTCAAACTTCACTGCGTGTAGGAATTATCCAGACATTTATTTAAAATACAGATCCTAGCATCTCACCCACAGGAAGTGTAAGTACCGATCAATCGACTCTATTGATGAAGAGGCCCAAGGACCTAATAGTCGAATCCCCTCATTGATCCTGAAATAGTCTGTTCAAAGAGTATATTTTGGGGAAGGATCTTACTGCATGGTTAAAAAGAAACACACAGTATGGCCACCAAATTAACAAAGCATGGAAATGTCCCAAAACAAGTAGCACTTTCAATCCTTTCCAGTTTTTGTATAACTATTGTTATTTGGTTCCTACAACAAGTCAACAGGAGGGATTTCAAGGTGTTACTAAGAACATTAATCTTTTTAAAAAAATATGAGAACTAGTATTGTTTTTACAAACTAAGGGGAAAATATCAAAGAATATTTAATTCAGCTAAAGGAAACTTTATAGCATTATAGAGGGGCCCTAAAAGAAAGACAGCAGAGGACTGTTCTAGGCCCTTGGAAAAGCACTGCACTAAGAAACAAAGCTTTTTGTCTTTTTTTCTTTTTCATTCTTTCCTTAAGCAGGCTCTTGGGCATTTTTCCTCTGGTCATCCAACATCTGCCCCAGTGACTTCATAATCCAAGTTTTTTCCTGAATTTGTGAAATCCCTTCTCCAGGACTCAGAGGAGGGTGGAGACCCAGGCATCTGGTGCACATGTTCAAAGGCTGTGCTAGCTTTCCAGCACCACTGCACTCATAGCTGTTTTCAGTCATACTTTATGTTTTAGGGCATATAATGACAGGTGTTTTTTCCTGAGTTCAAATCTCTGAATACCAAATAAGTGGGATAAAAGGACTGCAGTTTCAGGAACGTGGAGGGCAATGGAGAGTCACGGCCGCAAGAAGCAACATGAAGCCTTTCGTGGTTAAAAGAAAATGTACACAGGTATTTTCTGAGCTATGAAGACCCACTGTATGAAGACACGTTCTATGTTCTAAGCACATCACTGTAAACACATGTACATGCATCTATACACAGACATACATGAAACACACAGATCATGTGTGTGGGTAGATAGGTATGTAGACATACCTCTCTCCCTACCTGCTGCCACCATCATGGCGCCACACTGGTGGCCTCGTGGAAATTGGTATGGGTCTTCCCACTATCTCTCAACTTCACTTGGCTCTGCACCTTTATAACCCAGATAATCACCCACTAACCTCAGGCATCTCTTCAGCTGTCACCTCCTTCCTCTTCATAACTGTTCCTAGTTCTTCAGAAAAATCCTCCACCGCTCCCCTGACTGCCATGGCCGTCACCATCCTCTGTCCCATCTTCTTCATTTGAAATGGCTTCAAGGAAAGTATGAGAGCAGGACTGGTGACACCAGTGCCAAGCAAAGAAGGAAGCCACACATTCTGAAACAAGGCCATCATGATAAAGAGCCCAGGTCAAGAAAACCCTTGAAATTATGTAGTCATGTTCTTTTGACTCCAGTGTTTCCGTCTCATTATCTTCTCCTAATTATATCTGCCTTGTCAACCTTTCTGCTAGAACACAATTTGTTATTAAACTTATTTTGTTTGGTTTGGCATCTTTTCTAGCATTACATCAATATTTTCTACCGCTACTTTACAGCATTTTAGCTCCATTATAAAACTTGTGTTGGGTTGACCGGGAAACCAACAACATGACATTAGTATTTGGAAACAAGGCCTGGTCTTCATTCACAAGCCGATAAACGATCTTGCTGGGACATCTGGTTCCATATGTGTCGACATGTAAACAAGCAGAGATGGAGATTCCTGTACAGCCTAGGTATGTTATATATACACAGAGACATGTATGTATGTATATTTATGATTTTAGAAAAGGGGCACATATAGATGGCCCATAGCCATAGTTACTTCATGGCCTTGGTAAAGCAAGAAGAGAAAGGAACTGCATGCTATCGAAGTGACCCATCCTTGAAAGACGATTTTATGACAAGTCTGTGTTTTATTTTTCCTTCAAAAATATTTCTCCTTAGGGCTGGGGATTTAGCTCAGTGGTTCTACCGCCTGCCTCACAAGCATAAGGACCCGAGTTCAAACCCCAGCACCAAAAATATTTCCCCCTTCCTGGAGATAATGTTTGAGTCCCGGCCTAGCCACACCCACGGCTACCGCAGCGTGCTGCCCAGTGTTCCCTGGCTGCAGCAGCCCAGGCAGTACCAATGTTCCCAGGCCACGCCCAGGGCTCAGTGGGCGTATCTCCCTTCACTCTCAGACTCCCAGGGCCTGGCACTGTCCTCCTCCTCATTCTGTGAGAGAAAGCTGAGGCTCAGTGGTAGCACCCTAGAAAGCGCTACAAACAGCGTGCACTGGCCTGGGCCTGCGTGGGCCACAGTGCTCCCGTGACTGCCCCGCGCACTGATGGCCACGCAGCTCCCAGCATTAACGCAAGCTTCTTTGGCTCCATTGGACCCTATGGGGTTTAGGTTTTGCTCCAGAGATCCTAAACGGTCGTCAATGGTCTTACCCGAGCACACATGGCGAGGTCAGGCGGTGTCTGGAAACCCGGTTTCCAGGTCCTGGTCTGCGGCCTGGACTTGCGGTGGCGCAGCCCGCGCCCAAGGTTCTCCTTCCTCCGCCGCCTCCGCCGAGACCATGGCTTCCGACCCAGCGGCAGAAGCAAGGGCCGGCTGAGTTCCGGCCTTCGCCCAACGCCAAACCGTGTTCTGCTTCTCACATGGTCACAAAGTGCTTTGTGCGCAGGTGCGTTGTGTCTGCGCGAGGTTGTGTGCGTGAGTGTGCGCCGCGCACGCGTCCGGAGAATCTGTGCGTCTCTGGACATCTATACAAGGTGGTGATGGCTCAAACACAGTGAGAGGAGGAGGACAGGGTGGCCAGCCCACCTGTGACTTCCGCGCCGCCACCATCAGGCCTGGGAGGATCCATGCCCAGGAATCAGCCCAGGTGCTGCCCTTCAGGGAGCTTGGAGAAGGCCCGGGTGGGGCGGGGCCAGGGAGGTGGGCGGGGAAATACCGAGCGGTGGGCGGTGGGGCCCTGATGGCTCAAACACAGTGAGAGGAGGAGGACAGGGTGGCCAGCCCACCTGTGACTTCCGCGCCGCCACCATCAGGCCTGGGAGGATCCATGCCCAGGAATCAGCCCAGGTGCTGCCCTTCAGGGAGCTTGGAGAAGGCCCGGGTGGGGCGGGGCCAGGGAGGTGGGCGGGGAAATACCGAGCGGTGGGCGGTGGGGCCCCC